AAACAGCCAATATATGCTACACCCCAATCATCATATGAGAATTTTTCCATGGCAAGGATTTCTTACAATTTGTCAACAGGAAGTTCTTTTACAATGAGATATGAATAGTGACCTGAATTTCTTATGATTCTGAAACTTGTGTTTTGCCTGTTAATGTCGTTTGGCTCAGCTGATGGAAGTATCACAGCCAAGTCTGCAGCTGAATCATATCAGTGGGCTCTTTGGGGGCAGCGGTGTGAACAGAGCACTGCGGAATGCCAGGAAGCCTTGACTGGCAGGGGGGCTGCTGGAAACTCATGCCATGCATGGTCCATCAGAGTAGCTTCAGGGCTACCCTGACTTAGGCTGGTGCTAATTGCCTCCTGGCAGTCTCAGGAGATGCACGGAGACATTTTTGCTGCCTCCTGCTGTCTCAAGCAGTCACAACACACCTGGGATCACCCTAAGGATGAGAACCTGCATACACCAGAAAGCAAAATCACTGTGCCTTTCCCTGCAAAGTATAAGAAACTCAATTAAATGGGCAGTTGAACCACAAGCCAATGTATGAAATGGACGGTGCCTTCAGAGCATTTACGTGGCTTCTAGAACTGATTTGGACTGTAGATAAGTCACTACATAGTAATACTTCTTCTGAGTAAGATCAGACCTGAAAAGGGATCATGTATTCTTCTGCCTTTATTATTTCTAGCCCAATGTACTACTCTTGCACTTCCACAGCATCTGCTGTTTGAATCTATCAGTCAAGTAAGTCTCACAATACTTGGGTAAATCTTAATCCATTAATGAATGCAAAGCCAAGGCACAAAGAATTGATTTATATAATTGTGAATACTAATGAGTACGTACTTCAAGATGATTACATTCCATGCACTTATAAACTCTTCTGAAGACATAAACTGCTAAGAAATAAAATGAGCTGTGTTTCCCTAATTTATTTTTTTTTGAGAAATAAACTTGAATATTCAATTATGGGTTTATTACACTGTGAGTCAGTTTACAGTGATCAGTGGATATAATTTTTAGTATGAAAATGTTATTCGTGCATATTACAATTCCAGGCATATATTATCCTTTCATGAAAACATTTCAATTTTCAAGTCTTTATGCAAAAGATTGGCCTGTGGGCTCTGCACAGGATGTAAATTAAGTTCTTGTTTGGCTAAATCTGATTACCCTGTAGGGTACCAATCTTGCTTAGTGACAGTGGAAGCTAAAAATTGCAAGCAGGACAGTCCACTTGAAATGAGGCCAGGAAGAGACAGTTTCCAAACAGCAAATCTGACGTTTGAACTAGATTTTAATATTATCCCTAAGAATGTTCAGTTAAACATAGAAGCTGTCTCCTCCATAGCTGCCATAATTACTTTTAAATATCATCATGAAATTGAGAACAACTCTTCTTTTTTAAGTACAAGTATTTATTGATCATATGTAAAGATGCTGCAATCACTTTAACCCAGCCTTTAGTCAGTCTGCAGTTTAATTTCCATTTAACACTTCTTCCTTCTCCTCTCATAATCTATCAAAATTAATGCTCCAATAGAGAAATTCAGTGAATAGCAAAATGCCACACAGGCTATCAAAACAAATCCATCTAAAGTCAATACAAACTAAAACTATTTGAATATTAATAAAATACTGTTGCTTTATTGTGGACTTACTGAGCACATGAGAGAGAATAAAAAGGCATATGCTGACAGTACTGAATATGAAAAACTGCTGTTCCTTCTGACAGGATTAGCTAAATACTTAATTGATAGGAACACTCCCCTGTATTTTTCCTATACTCAGAAAATGTGCACAGAAAAGTCACTCTTTGATCTATTTTACAAGTTTCAGTTACTGTAGCAGGCTTTTGTATACATAAAAATTTTATTTTTAGTAGTCTTTGGCATCTCCATGGCTTTCCTTTGATGTATAAAGGTTTTATGATCAATAATATGTAAAAGTAGCTGGTGTTATTGCAATTGTTCTGAGTCAAGGAAAAAAAACCAAAAGTAATGCAACATTGGTGAAAATGATATGGCTTTTGGCTGTTCAGAAAATGTAATTATCTCAATAAATGCATGTGGGTTTTAGTAATGAGATTTAAAATTTCAGACAGATTATTTTTAATAACATCTTTTCACAGTGGTTCTATTAAATACTTTATTTAAATCAAATCTCAACAGTTGCCTAATAGATAAATATCTCACTCCCTCAATAGGTTTTAGATGAAGGGACTCAGCACTCCACACAGAATCCTAATGAATTTGAAGGGGGAAAAGGATAAAGCCAGGCCTGGAGATAGCCTGGGGGCAACACAGCCGTGTCTGAGGGATGGTGTGCTAGGGAGGTCCTTCCATCTGTTGTCTCATGGAGACTGGGGATGGAGATCCATGTGGCAGCAGTGACACAAGGGATATTGATGTGTTGGAAACCACAGAAGTGCCTGAGAATGATCACATGGAAGGTCCTGCTTGACTGACCCAATGTCCTTCTGTGACAAGGTGGTCTGCAGAGAGGATGAGGGGAAGGCTGTGGATGTTGTCTTCTAGACTTCAGTAAAGCTTTGAGTGTTTTCCACAGTATTCTCCTGGAGAAACTGGCTACCCATGGCTTGGATGGGTGCACTCTTCACTGTTAAAAACTGTCTGCATGGCTGAGCCCAGAGTGCTGGTGGATGGTGCTGCCTCCACTGAGCATCCAGTCACAAGCAGTGTTCCCTAGGGTGCAGTGTTGGGGCCAGTTCTGTTGAATGTCTTTATCAATGACCAGGATGAGGGAATCAAGGACACCCTCAGTCTGCAGAAGACACCAAGCTGGGCAGGAGTGTGATCTGCTGGAGGGCAGGAGGGCTCTGAACAGGCTAGATTGATGGGCCAAAGCCAATGGTGTGAGGGTCAACGAGGACAAGCAGAGGTCCTGTCATGTAGTAGTGTCCGACATGAGGCAAGAGTGTGCCCAGGTGGCCACGGCCAGCAGCATCCTGGCCTGTGTCAGCAACAGTGTGGCCAGCAGGACCAGGGCAGTGACCATTGCCCTGTACTCAGCACTGGTGAGGCCACACCTCAGCTGTGTGTCCAGTTCTGGGCCCCTCAGTTCAGGAAGGACAGGGAGGTTACTGCTGGAGTGTTACTGCTCCCTGCAACTACCCCAGAGGAGGCTGTGGAGAGGTGAGAGTTGGTGCTCTTCTCCCAGGTCACAAGCAACAGGAGAGGAAATGGCTGGAGTTGCGCCAGGGGAAGTTGAGATGAGATATTAGGAAAAATTTCATCACCAGAAGGGTTGTCAGGCAGCCGAACAGGCTGCTCAGGGAGGTGGTTGAGTCACTGTCCCTGGAGGTATTTAAAAGACAAAGCAGCTCACATGCTAGCATGGTCCAGTGTATGCTGATATTGTTTCTGGGCGATGAACACTAAAATTACATGTTCAGAAAACAGTTTTAACTGTGAATTTACAGAAGAACAATCAAAAGCTTCCATTTGAATTCCCACAGCTCCCCCATGCCAAATAACACATATCTGCATGATGAGGCACATTAACTTATCTCATATTGAACAGTTTTTTCCTTGGATTAGTTTGAATAGTGAATCAATTTCCTGATCTGGTTCAGCAGGCAGGCAAAAAAAGGTCTGCGTTAATGGAAGTGAGCAGCTCAGAAAATGAAAATGCTTTTGATTGACTTCTACCCATTTAAAGCATATGTGAAACTACCTTAGGGATGTTATACACAGGCTGTCAGAACATATGGCCATTAACCACCAGTCCACTGGGGCTCTGGTCTCTCCCTTTCTGGGATATTTTCTTGTATTATCCAATTACTGTTTTTCATCAGAACTATCTATTAAAGTATGCATTCACATTGTGGTCAAAGCTTACATACTGTAAGATATGATTTACCATCAAGCCCTGAAGAATTATATTACATACCCACAGCAGTCTATTTCAAAAATTTATTTTCCTAAACATGGCATTTCATAAATGTTTAATAAGTATATACCCTTTACAGTACTGATGCAATGTAATATTCACAAATATTTTGAAGTGTTGGTTATTATCTCAGCAAACACCATTACTGACTGTTTTCATTTACTAATAACATGTAAAATCACAATTCAGTGGCCACTTTAGCCCAAATAATATATTTGTATGAAACACTGATCTGCTACTGTATCAGTAACAATTATTTCATTTTGCGAATTATTATCCCTGATGTGGACAAAGCTCTTTTTGCGCCAGTTGAAAAAGTCTGTGAGTAAACCATGTCATGTTTAGATATGAAAAATAGGTCAATGGCTACTGAGATGATGCTTCCAAAAGCAGAACCTTCCCTACAGCACAGCTTTAGGAAAACATTTCATCTGACAGCACACATTCTTTTTTACAGAATCCTCTAAGCAGGTACTGGATAAAAAAAAGTAATTTCACTGTATAAATGGACAGAGAAAAGATAGTGAGGAATGAGACTTCTTTTAAATTAAAAATGGCATAACACTTTAGGACTTCACTTGAACGAAGCTCCTTCCAATTGATGTTACCTACCTGGAAGCCACAAAAACAACCCTCAGGCAAGTTGTTTTCAGTGCCTTGGAGAAGCTGGTGAGAACAGCACATTTTTTGGAAGAAATGAACCAGGAGAGAACACTGCATACTTGTGTCATTCTTCATACAGGAATTACCAGTTTCATCTTCTATCAAGATTAAATGACAGGCAGCACATTTGTAAATTGTTCAGCAACCAAAACATTTACAGTCATGGATCAGAGGAGCTATTGTCCAAGGGAGGCACATTTCTCTTAATTAAAAAAAAAACAATCCAAGAAGCTCCTATTGTATTAGCACTTTATATGAACCTGTATCTTAAATCTTTATCAAAAAAATAGCAGATAATCACACTGAAGAAAGGATTGTTCTAAACTGATTGTACATACACTCTCAAATAAAACTTGTTCCTTCATCCATATTGTATTACTTACAGATAGCTACTGCCCCAGACTGGCAGCTGTTGCAAAAAAAGGTATTTTTGTCTTTATATACTAATATAGTTAATGGAGACATGATTCTGAGACCAGAGTTCAGCTGCAGCACACAATCCCACATTATTTAGCAGCCATAACTCTATAGTAAAAACAGGACACTCATTACCCATTCCATCTGACATGAACAAGGAACAGCTTTTCTTCATTGTGTTTCAGTGAGAAATATTTTAAATATTCTTGGAGTAAAGGGTAAAGGAAATGTACACAGTGATTATAAATTAAGTATTGACTTTTATTTACATAGTTTAACAAACAAATTCAAGTAATTATTGCATCAATCATTCAGATTTTGAATATTACTATAAACCACAAGTTTACAGCATAGTGTTGCATTCTCCATGGAGCTGTGATTACTGTTCTGCATTTTTCTTTCTCCGACGAAGCCACCTCAGAGCTCTCACCAGTGCTACTTGTCCCATGAGGAATGTGATCCTAAAGTTATGTTTATACCAATCTCTAGGATTCCAAAGCCAAGAAAATCATCAGCACATAGAACAACAACAGGAAAAAGATACACAATTATATTAAAATATCCTTTGGCATTGACAAATATTTCACTGATGACCTGCATTTTCTGTTCTTTGTGATAACACCTTTCCTGCCTAATAAGAGTTAAATAACTAATGAAAAAGTCTATGTGTACATCCACATTCAGGAACAGATTACACATGGGTTACAGGGTTGCAATGGTATTGGAAATCAAGTGAGATAAAATAGTTAAAACCATGTTTCAGCAGTAAAGCAGATCACCAAGCTATCTGGACTACCTGCCAGTGCTGTGCTTCAGATAAAATTTGTTTGTGTGTGGATGAAGATGCCTGTGTTAAAAAGGGCAGAATTGGTCTCATACAAGGGTGGCAAAAAATAAAACCAAATCACACTTCAAAGGCTAATTATATAACCCAACACTACCCTTCTCCTGCAGCATATTTTAAAGATAATGCCTTTAATATTGTCAAAGTTAGTCTTTATATCTTTAAATGATTTAATTTTTATGAATCATGCATGGCTTCTGGAACCAATTAAAATTATTCACATTATAGTCTGCATCAGCCCTTTTTAACCTCTGCAAACTTGCTTCAAGTTCTTTTGCCCCTCTTACAAATTAAAATTATATCATTTTTTTTCAGTTTCTAACAAGGATCTCATTCCCATGTTGTAAAATGCACACAAGATGCAACAGGATATGTAGAATTCCAGAAATAGAACACTGAGATTTAGGTCTTCTCCTGAGGTGTCTGGGGCAAACCTTGCATGCACAGATCTAACATAAGCCTGACATACCAACCTCTCAGTGAGGATAGCAGCCAAAATCACACTGGCAGGCAGCACTGAGCTACCTCTTCAATTGTCATGTTAAATAAAGTATCATGCTAACATTGCAACTGTTTCTTTTCCCCTTTCACATTTAATTTCCTATATCCTTCTTGAATTTTTTTTCCAAAACTGAATTGTATTTCCAGTCTAAGTGCCCTGAACTAAATATTCAAGGCATTGATGCACAGTCATTGCTTCAATTTTAACTACATTTTAGAAGCTGCAACACTTCAGCTGCCAGTTTTCAGTCCAGCTGGCAATACTGCAAAAGAACATACAGCTAAACGCATAAACAGATTTTTATAAATATGACCCCTCAAAATCAGACTGCCTGTAAAAAGCTCTGCTGTTTTCAGGGATGTGCAGTCCCACTTTGAAACTACAACAATGCAGCTGACACAACCTGATTTTACAAGTCAGCAGCAAGGAAGGTCATGTTTAAGCACAAAGCCTGAATTATCTTCCCCTGAAGATGGGACACTATCCTACACTGCAACAATGACAACTGGTAAACCAGTTCTAAGATTAACTATTTGCATTACCACTTATCAATTATAGGCAATGTATTGACAATCCTTTCACTGGAAACAATTTCTTACTTTGCATCTTTTCACACTGTTGCTTGGAATTATGGCGAGGTTCCTCCTTGCCCCTCCATGGGCAAGGTAAGATGTGTATATTTAAATATTTGTTAGTTAATTTGTTCTTACAGGATAGTATTTTATGGTTTATGCACAATACACATGAAGAAACTTAAGCCACCATTTGTTACAGATCAGTTGCAGTGATGGCAGAACTCTCACTAGCATTACCCCAGGAGGAACCAGTCACACCTGACACTTTTGAGCCCAATAATCTCCCAATCCAGTACAGAGAGGAAACTCAGTTGTGCTTTCACATTCAGTGGTCAGTATTCCTAGATTAAGTGTTGTCTTCCTTCACTTTCCCATTCCTCCCTCATTTCCAGCCCTTTTTCAAGTGTGCACAGCTACTTGCAGGGTGTATGTGTTTGCAAGTAATTTTTCACCCCTTTCAGATCCCAAATCCAGTTTGAGTTGTGCACACAGGCCTTGTCAAACTCAAAAGCTGATCAATTTTTTACTAGACACTTGCAAAATAATACACCCAGGATTATTAAATATTACTCCCATCAAATGATTTTCCTTTGAGATAAATCACATTTACTTGTCCTTATTTAACAGTCAGCTAGAATCTGTTATACAGAACTTTCAAGTGGTATATTTGCATATTTATCAGCTTTAATTAGCAGCATGAAAAGACCTGTGCCCTAAGATAATAAAATGTGCCTGATCTTGTCTCTTTAAATCTCAGACTTGAGCTTATCTTTCCACTAAAACAACAATAAGCAGCAGAAATAAAATGATAATGCAGATTTGTCAAATCCTAATAACAGCATTAAAAAAAATTCAAAAATTACAGGGGTTTGAGCTGTCTTATCAATTACATAAAAAATGTCCAAATTTTAAACTTGATATTTTAACCTCTCACTTAGACTGTAATGTATAATGGTCAACATAAATACGTTCTACGTACCTGTTGTACTGCAAATGCTTTTTTAAATTTTTACTTAGAAAGTCCTTGTAAAAGTCAGCCATTTCTTCTGCATTCAGTGTTGCTTTTTGACCTGAAAATAGGTTTTGGTGTAACAAAGTCAAGGCAATTCTTTGGATCAAGACTGTGGGTTCAGATGCTAGGTCTAACTCCTTACTCCTACAAGCTTTCTGTTAAACCTCAACAAGTTAATAATATGTCTTTAACTTTCAACCTTTTAAAACTTATCTAGAGAGCACAGCAGATGAAAAATACTGATCATCTTGAAGTTGGCATAGCTCTTAAACACCTATCACTTGTGGAAGTAACAAAGTTTACCAGCTCTTAGACTACTTAGGGAACCAGTGAACCCTATTAAAATGTGCATAGATCTAGGAGTATCTATCCTTTGAATAAAATAATTTCTCACAGTCTGAAGCCTAAAGAGTACCAATAAGAGCATTTAGTAACAATTTCCCCCCTAAAGCAAGTCCATAAATATCAAAAGAACACTATCCACAATTGACATGGTATTTTCAAATGTAATTCTTTTTATATTGCTGTTAATAAATTTCAAGTAACTGCAGGCAAAAAGTTTATGTTCTGAGATGTCAGATTCCAAACAATCTAGTAGGCAATTATTTTGAGAAGAAGGAAATACAAAAGATGATTTTGAATATGTCACCCATAAGCAGAATATAAAAGGTCCAGGAAGACCTATGGGTACAGCATAAGATGTCTAATCCTGAGAACCAGCAAATATTCTCAATTCTACCAGACAATTCCTACACAACCCTTCTGGCACAAAATGTCCCTAAAATGACAGTCAAATTTCAATGCCCTAGAGAACATGGATATGATGAGGGAAATGGAATTGCAATATTCAACTTGTTACAGTTCCAAAATACATTTTAAGGCTCTTGAGATTGACCACAGAAATGTAAATTACTGATTGGTTCTATTTGTCATTATTTAAAAACTAATATATCACAATGTATTAACAGACAATGGGACAAATTAACTATAAAACCATTTGAAGGCTGCCAGTTTAATACTTATAGTTCATTTGTTTCTTCATACTGGTATCAGCAAAACTGATTAATTACATAGGAAAGCAAGTTTCATTCACTCTTCATTAATATTTTCACAAACATTCACAGCTATATTATAGAACAGCTGACCAAAGGCATGCATCTGATATAGATTTATTTTTACTGGAAGTATGTGGTCTTTTACTTCTAGAGTATAAAAGCAAAACAAAAAACCTAACAAAAAAGCAATATAAAAGAAGTGGTTTTGAAACAACATATATCTTAATTAAAATTACTTCTCAAGCACACACTGATCACCAGAATACAAACAGAAAAGAAAAATAATGGTCTGTGACATACAGAACCTCAAAGCAGATGCTTCCCTGAACTCAAACAGATCATTATTCCGTGAACAAAGTGTTCAACCTCATACCACAATGCCCAATTCACGATTATTATGAAGGCATTTTGTTTTCATTTTCGCATAATGAATTAGAGAGACAACTATTTTACAGCAACTGTGCCCAGGCAGAGACAGGCAGATAGCAGCTGCCAGCTCCCCAGAAGCTGCCTTACACTCCCTCAAGGAAAAATATTGCATTCATTGGACACACCACGGACCTGAAGCCAAAGACTCTGAATTTAACCGCCCAGCCATAACATGCACTTGAGGCAAATGCTCTGTATGTTTATGTCAGCCAGCTCACTGGCTTAGGAGGTGTGAAAGTAAAAAGTCCTTCCCTCCTTAGGCTACATTATTATATCACTGGGCTAGGATTTCAGAACATTCCTTCTGGCTGTGGGGAAGGAATTAGGGGGAGAGAGTGCAACAAATGATCTGACCCCCACATGCACATCTCTGAAAAGCTCCTTGTCTCTCTTATTATCACACTCCTGAAAACATTTCTAAATCCTACCCCTAAGATTTACTTGTGGCAGAACACAAAGAGCATAAACTAACAAAATTCAAAGTTAAACAAAATTCAGAATGCATCCTAAACTATTAACAAAGATCTCACTAACCTGATTCATCTCTCATTTCCAGACCCTTGGCTTTCAGTCTTGAATAAATAAATTCTTCTTTTTCCTAAAACACGTTTTTCCACATTAGAATGGGATGCAGTCAGTCCTTGAAGTTAACCATTGTTTTTAATTACATAGCAATGTCGTGTTCAACACCCTTTGAAATAACTAGCAATACTCGTTACACTTGGAAGTGTCAACTGAACACTTTTCTTAGTCCAGTGAGTTAGTTAAAACTGGTCACTTTGCTCCTGCTACCTGCATGCATCAATTAATGCAAATGTCCTACTGATACTTATAAAACTGATTTGTGAAGTAAAGCTACAGACAAACTTCAGTGCTGTTCGACAGGAGTCAAACTTTCAGTTTATATAAACTATGGAATGTGCTGTATGACATAACTGAGATTTTGAGCATAGAGGAAAAGGTGCAGCCTAAAAAAATTAAAACTATTTAGATGGAAGCACAATAATCATTTGTGTGTGTTTCATGGACTTAAACAGTTTTTTTAATACCACAGTTATGTGGTATTAAAAAAAAAAAAACAAGATTCATTTTGTTCTGGGATCTTTGCAAGTTTTGAGAGGATATGATGTTCAACATCATAAACAGTGGTGAGTTACTGAACTGTTACTGTTCTTCCAAAAAATGCCACATTGGCTGGGAGATGCTAAAATCAGGAAAGACACTCACTTTAGCCTTGCTAAGATACGCTGCCAATGAAATGGGACATATTATTTACCCTCATTTAGTCTTTGTAATTACACCAAATTTCTCTCACTTATGACAAGAGAAAAGCCAGCCATGAAATAATTTTCATCAGCTGCTCTAGTCAGAGACAGGTCTTGCATGTAGGGCAGCTAAAACTTTATACTTTCAGTGCAAGACAGGAAAAAAGTAAACACTCTATGCCCCTAGGCAGCAATAAAACGTGGACTTCTTAGTTTTGTGCATCATTTAAATAAATGAACGACAAACCCGCCATTTCCTGCATGACCCTGAGCGCATTAACAGCGGGCAGAGCTGAGCCCCACCTCAGAGAGGCCGAGCCCCCCAGTTTCGGGCAGGCAGGCGGGTGCTGAGCAGCAGCAGCAGCAGGTGCGAGGCTGTGCTCACCTGGTGGAAGGCGCGGTTGTGCCGTGCCCAGAAGCGCTGGTTGCTGGCCTGGGCCTCCTGGCGCGCCTCCCGCAGCCGCCGCTCCAGCGCCGACTCCTCGGGGGGCACGTAGAAGATGATGGGGCGCAGGTTGGAGAGCTTGTCCGGGGGGCCGATCCAGTCGCTGTGCGAGTGCGCGGGGGGACGGAAACCCGGGCCCTGTGGAACACAGACACAAGGTGTGAGCAGCACCGCCGCAGAGCTGCTGAAGAACGTCTCAACTCGGAATGAATGCCCAAACGCCTCGGAACCTTAAAGCGTGCAAGCGTAGCAAGTTCAGAAATAAAGCACATTTGTTTACTGTGACCACAAACAATGGCATACATTTACAATTTACTTTTACTTACAAATGCACTACAAGACCTTTAACTCTTACCATGAGCATAAATCGTGAGATATCTTTTTCTGTTTTAATTTTTCTACCACTGATACTCTGTTAAAGTATTTCACGGAGGGAACTAGCAAGTAAGTATCCAAGTTTTTTACAACGCTGATCTCTGCCCTCTGGTGACCAATGACAGCACCCGAGGGAACAGGGTGAAGCTGTGTCAGGGGAAGTTTAGGCTGGATATTGAAGGCTCTTCAGCCAGAGGTCATGGTCACCGGAACAGACTCCCCAGGGATAGGGTCACGGCCCCAAGCATGACAAGCTCAAGGAGTTTTTGGACAACGCTCTCAATGGTCCGATTCTTAGAGCTGCTCTGTGCAGGGCCAGGAATGGGATTTCGGTGATCCTTGTGGGGGCCTTGAAACTCAGCGTATTTTATAATTCTACGATTCTAAGTTTTCCTCAGCCCGGTGTTCTTCCTGCTTTCATGTGCCCACACACAGGCGTGTGCCTGCCCCAGCCGGGTTCAGGAACACCTGGCGTTAGCCAACAGCCCGAACCTCAGCGCCCCTCCAACAGCCAACACCGGGAGCCTCCACAAACACATCGAAAACCAGAGGCCGCGGGCACCGCGGTTTGCCACGGCCGCCCCCGCCCCGCCGGCGTTCCCGGGAGAGCGGAGCGCTCCCCACGCAGGGCTCCGCGGGGCTTCCCCCGCAGGAGCTGCCGCCCCCCGCCGGGTTTACCACGCTGTCCGGCCGCTCGGAGGAGGAGGAGGAGGCGGCGGAGGAGAGGGAGCGGCGGCGGTAACAGCCCCCGGCCCGCAGCCCGCGGGCGGCCGCCATGGCCCGGCGCTTTCCGGCGCCGCCGCGCGGGGGCCGCGGGCGGGGCGGGGCTCGGTCGGGGCCGGGCCGGAGCCGCCTCGGCCTCCGCCTCCCCGTGCGCGGCCGGGCCGGGCGGGGCTCGGGCGCTGCGCGGCGCTCGGCCCGTGGCGCAGCGCCGGGCCGGGCAGCGGGGCCTCGCCGGGCGGCGGGTGAGTGAGGGAGCGGCTGCGGCGGGTCGCGGGCGCCGCGCGGGTTCGCTGCGGGGCCGGTGGGGACGGGCCTCCCGCAGGTGCCTCGGCGGCGGCCCGGTGTCGTTTCCTCTTCGCGGTGCGCCGGGCCCCTCCGCGGGGGAGGCGGGAGGTTGCGGCCATGGAGGGGGCGGCGAGTCCTGAGGGGCAGCAAGGTGTGTGCGGGAAGGGGCGCTGCTCGGCGGGTGCGGCGGCCGGGTTCGGCCGGGTTCGGCCGCTGTTCCCCCCCTCGCTGCGGGCTCTCCCCTGGGCTGCGGGTGCCCTGTTTGATCTGCGGCGGCTGCAGCTGCAGAGCAGGTGGGGAAGGCAGGGCGGAAGGCTGGGGGTGAACATCCTAGAGCTGGGCGTGTGGCAACTAAAGCGTCCCCCCTTTGGAAAGGTGTGGAAAAATTAAAGGGTTGTGAAACATCAGCCAAGTGGTTTATTTGTATTGGTGAAGATACTTAAAATAGCTGTAATGCTGAAGTGCTTCAGAATGTAAAAGTTGCGATGTGTGCTCGTGTAGCGCTTAAGTCTTGTTATCGTTTTCCTTGTAGTTCATCTGAAGCTGGACGAGCGAAGAGGAATGGATATGGGTAACCAACACCCATCCATAAAACGGTTACAAGAAATCCAGAAAGAAGTCAAAGAGATTGAACAGCAAGTGGCTGGCTTCAGCGGTCTGTCCACCGACCGAGATTACAAGAAATTGGAAAGAAGCCTTACGAAACAGCTGTTTGAAATAGATTCTGTAGACACCGAAGGGAAGGGGGATATTCAGCAAGCCAGAAAGCGAGCTGCCCAGGAAACTGAGAGGCTGCTGAAGGAACTGGAACAAAATGCAAACCATCCGCGCAGACTGGAAATAGAGGCTTTATTCAAGGAGGCACAGTCACTTGTGGAACGCGAGATCACGGCTTCTTACAAAGGAGGAAACCGTATAAGTGATGAATTTGAAGAAGGAATTCAGGACATTGTGCTGAGGCTTACACAGGTGAAAACTGGAGGCAAAGTTTCTCTACGCAAAGCGAGATACCGCACTCTGACAAAGATATGTGCTGTTCAGGAGATTATAGAGAGTGGTCTAAAGCAACAGCTGTCCCTGCCACTCTCTAATGATGCTCATCCTTCTGTCTCCAAAATTAACTCTGTAATGTGTGAAGTGAACAAAGCCAGAGGAACTCTCATTGCACTTCTAATGGGAGTGAGTAGTAATGATACCTGCAGGCATCTGTCCTGTGTGCTCACAGGCCTCATTGCTGATTTGGATGCTTTAGATGTCTGCGGTCGCACGGAAATAAGAAACTACAGAAAGGAAGTAGTAGAAGAGATCAATAAATTGCAGAAATACCTGGACTTGGATGAAGAAGCAGATTCTAGTCATGCTTATGATTTGGCAAAAAATCAGTCTATTCTAAAAATAGAAGAGATCCGTAAGAAGATGAAGGAAGTTCATTCCTTACTTCTAAAAACAGAGAATGCTTCTGATTTGTATCTGGGATCCAAAGCAGAGTTGCAGGGACTAATTGCCCACCTAGATGAAGTGAGTCCAGGAAAAAATCCCTGTATTAGAGAGGCCAGGAGAAGAGCAGTAATTGAAGTTCAGACTCTTATAACATATATTGATTTGAAGGAAGCATTGGAAAAAAGGCAAATGTATCCAGAGCAAACTGCTGCTGAACATCAGTCTCATAAAGCAGTTTGGACTGTACTTGGAAACTTGTCTCAAATTCAGAAAGAGGTGATTTCATTTGATGGAAACAGAACAGATAAAAATTACATGAGACTGGAAGAACTTCTTACAAAACAACTTCTAGCCCTGGATGCTGTTGATCCGCAAGGTGATGAGCGGTGTAAGGCTGCTAGGAAGCAGGCAGTAAAGCTTGCACAGAATATTCTTTACTATCTGGACATGAAAACAGATGAATGGGAATACTGAAACAGCTATGGCCTGATACAGAAGAACATTTTTCCCTTTGGCACTTTATGAAGATCATTGGCAGCACATAATAAAGTCTTCTGTGCTTGCTGAAATCATGGAAATTGCATAAGCAGTTGACTTGGCTATATGTCTGCTATCCCACGCAGTCACCCACTTGCCATGGCAACTGTCAGTACACCATCAGCAATTCTGGTCACTGATATAAGCAAAGTGCAATTCTCTGAAGGAATAGCTTAATACTTGATCAAATAGCTTCTTCTTTTTTCTCTTTTTCTTTCTTGTTTTTATTTCAATTGCCTTGTGCAATGTTTAGTGAATGCAGGCTTTTCAAAGATGCAGAAACTTCCTTACGGTACAGTACTGGCAAAACTATTTAAGGAGACTTGAAAATTAGTGAACGTGAAAATTAGTATTCAGGCATGAGGCTCCATCCAGCAACTTCACAGCAGTCTGGATGTACTGTTAATGTGCTGTCATGACATAAAGTTCTAAGGACAAAAAGCCTGCTGGCTTTTGGATTGTACTTGATTTTTCCCATCCATCATGCCATCTAGATATCTCAGTTAATGGAGCTGTAATGCCAGCTGCAAATTAGCATTTACATAGGCAAAGCCAATTATGTCAATTTTTGTAATACCTGAGACCTTTGATTTGCAAAACCAGGTCTTTTGTTGGTGGAAATTCTTTCAAGTTATTGCTTTAAGGTACTGAGACTTGGAGAGGAAAATCTGTACGTTTATACCAAACACATAAAGGGGATTTTGAGGATTTCAAACTGCCATCCATAAACCCTTGAAAACTGCACTGAACTTTATTTAGGCTAATTAGGTGTCTTTTTAAACTCTGCTGTTGCATCTGGTTTTCACATTTGGCGAAAACATAAAAAGAGACTTCACTTTGAAGTGAAATGTGCATTTTGGAATTATTTTTGTAAAATTAGGTAGCCAGCTATAAAGATGTCCCTAATGATATAAGTGTGTGCTACATGGTCAGGTGTGGCTTCAAGCATGTCTTGGAAAGATTGGTGGCAAATGTCTCTCTTTGCAACTCATTCACTTGTTTTAGAATAAGCTTGCTTGTACTGTTGTATGCACCTACCTTTTTATTTGTGGCTGCTAGTGCCAATCACATTTCTACTATAGCATGTTTTTTGGCATTTTTTGAGAGCATGGCATTAAAATGATTTGAGTATATATAGATATATATAAAGAATATAGATATATATAAAGATATATTCAGTTGTGGATAATTTGCACTCAGCTCTTTCAGGATGAACTAATGAATTAGTGTTCTATAGATGGTGATTTGCACCACTTTAAGGAGTAAAAACCGTTTCAGATGTTACAATAAATATTTTTAAGATCTATTTTTGACTGATTAGAGAGGACAGTACTGTCTGTGAGAGACAAGTGCCTTTATGACACTGCTAACTTGCACCGTCATATGTAGATATAGGAACTCTTTACTGGCAGCTTGATACATTTGTAATCTTTGCAAACTGGATTTTTCAGGTATATATCTAATTTTGCTGTAGTATATGTCAAGCTAAAATAATACAATAGGTGACAGTTGCCCTATAGAGTCCTGAGAATGAGTATCAAATTTAGGAAATACATATTCTGCTTAAAAGCTAAAGCATTAGTGTGGAGGTGGGGGACTTTGGGCAGGTCTTCTGTGCCTATTGCTACAAGAATAATGTGTTTGTTCATAACATACTATGAGATGTTGATTGAAGGCTGCATACCTTCAGAGTGTGAATAGATTTTGTTTGTGATTGTGCAGATGATTGCTTTGCAAATCTACTCGCCAAAATCGACGTAATTGAGTACACTGCCTAAGGCACAATTTGGCAATGACAGAGTGTTTGTTGGAGGATTCTTCCTGCTCCCTCAGAGACATAACCCCATTGAATTTAACTCTCCTTCACTAAAAAAAAATCCCTAATTAAAATTTCAATCTCTGTTTGAATATTATGTGGCTAACACAGAATATTAATAGTGTTATACACCTGAATTATTTTATGCATTTCAAGCTCTCTACATGTTTGAATTGCAACTTGTGATTTGCACTTAGATTTTTAGGAAAGATAAGGATTTGATATTGTAATGATATTAATAATTTTCTTTAGTATTACTGTCGGGTCTGCAGTGGTTACTTGTAGTTTGTTTAAACAATTTGGTGTCTGTGTTCTCTGGCAGATATGTGTAGTTTTATAAGTGTTTGAGCCTCTTATGTAAAAATGAGTAAGTATAATTATCGGATCTATTCTATTTTAAATGTGTCCTTTAGTTTTCCTGAATTAATTGTTATGCCTGCATCTCTAAGAATGCAAATGTGTAAAGGTAATTTGACTGAGTAGAGTCCAGTAGCAAGATATTATGTGGATTAAACCTTTTTCCTTTGTTCGGTACTCTGATAAATTGACTATTTCAATGTTATGGTAAAATCCTCATATGGAATGGGATTAATTCACAGTTTTTGCATGAATGAAAGTAATAACATTTATGTGCTTAACCAAAAAAAAAAAGCAAAAGAAAAAAACCCCA